TAATCGGTATAAATTTTAAACTCAGGTACGTTAATTTTGAATTAACAGTTATTTAAGAGCAACGTACAACATATATACTGTATTCATTTTTCTTGATTAATACATATATTCATGACACAAAATTTTGATTAATATAGGGATGAATCTTTCACGGATTCAAGCCATGAAGCGGGGAGAGGGACAAGCAGAGAAGTGTCAACACGCTCGCCATCACGTTCGCCATTATGTTCATCTTCCCACCAACCTTCATCACCGCGCTCACAATCTACGATTTAATATTCGTCAACTATAGCGCCGATGATTTTTCAGTTGAAAACGAGCAGATCAAGTCTCAGCGTTCGTCCTGATGGACAATTTATATATTCAAACCTAAAGCATGAATTCAAGACGGAAGTAGGTGCACTTGAATCTAGTAGACCTCTAAATTCGCCCCAAAAAAAGAAACAAAGCGACAGGTTAAAACTCATAATAACGATGCTAATCACTATAATCGAAAAAGGTCCTGTTCCAGCAAACTATACTTTTGCCGGTGTTTGCGACAATAGAGTAAATGCAACAAATTCTAAGTCAGTCCGACTTAAAGGATTTGTTGTATTGGTCGCGGGATTTAGTACCATTTTATGGCGAGTTGAACAAAAATGGAAGGTAAGAATGAGTATTTTAGGTAAATTATTTCCTTTAATATAAAATTTATATATTTTACTACATATAGAATGGAGGTTTTAAGAAGGATTGGGAAACATACCTCAAAGAAAAATCAAAATCGGAATCAATCATGGCGTGTTACAGCATTCAAAGGAACTACAATTGCGAAGTTGCTTCACAGTTGAATTGCTAGAGCACTCAACTAAGCAAAACTGATTGATTTGATTTATTCATCGTTAATTAAAATACACTTTTTTAAATAAAAAAAAACAACCAACTTTTGACAAAATCTACACATAAGCTTTTATCCTTTATAAAAATTATTTTTAAATTCAGATGCTCTATTGCTCAATGTAATTCTTTTTGTACCCATATCAAAAAATAACAAATTTTCTCTTAAAGGCGAATGTATTTTATTTTAGTTTTTAATAACATTTTCTATACTTTAATAATATACTACAGTATTAAAAGCACTGCTTAATTTACTCCCATTTTAAAAATTAATTTATTTCGTACTTTAACGTGCTACTAGTGATGGGACAAACAAGGCTAAAAATAGGTGATTCGCATTCAAGAAAAATCAATTTTTTTTTTTTTCTTTTTAACAAATCAAACAGACACAATCGAATTTCTAGCATAAGTAGTCCCATCACTACATGCTACTAATTTATTTTGCACTTTAACATACTATACTATGTTATCGGCCCGTTCAGCTCTATTATTAATTTGTTTTTATAGTAGTCAAATATACGCCGCATAAAGCTGATAACACTTTGTTGAGAACATAAAATGAATATATGTGACATTGATATAATATAAATGATGTAAAATTATGCGGGTTTACTAAATCACATAATTTCCGTGTCCCTGGTCTACGAATAAGGTAGCAAATCTATGGCAGAAAAATATCAAAAACAATATGATTTCTAATCCAACTTCCTCTATGTATGTAGCCCGATAATAATGCTTTCACCTTTATGATTCCTACAGTACGAAGTTGATATACGAACTTTGACTTATATGATTTGGAAGTTGTATGGTTGAACATTTTTTAGAGAAATTGCTTCGAACATTGAAAAAAAAAAAATTCTGGAGGTTGAAATTCGCAAAATTACATATTTGAGATTCAATCATCAAACGTTTAACTTATCCGGAAACAATATTAGCTTCACATATAATTATTACTCAAACAGGACATATTCATATTCATTTGTGCATTTGCAATTGAATATATAGTTGAAAGTTTATTACCATAAAAAAAGTTTAGAACAATATAGTGTAGCTATATTATAGATCAATCGTAAGGGATGCGAACAAACTGACCTAAAAGAAATAAAATCACTATGCTACTATGTCTTATACATTGGACCACATAGAACTGTCTAAATGCTCGGTGCTACTTCAGGTTATTCTTCATTATCTTGTAAATATTGTAGTGAACATTTAAAATATTTCCCAGATCCTCAAAATGGTGGTAAATAGGGCTCCTTATTACGTATGCTTAATTATATAAAGAAAAAAGCAAAAATGATTAATATTAAGACCAATCATTAAGAATAACAGTAGTTAAGACTATAAAGTCAGATATGTTTGAAGTAACCCGAACGAAAGAGTAGTCTGAATTGAGTTACATCATATATGATGCCTTGCGTATCGTACTCCATAGAGCTACCACTAGCGAACCGCGTTCAAACACTCCATGGACTATGTCAATCCGTCAAAAGACTTCATATTATAATCCAGGAGGGTATCGTGTCTGGTTGTTCGCCCCCACTCTCACAGGAATCTCAGCTAGAGATTTTTATAGTTTTTCTCAGACCTTCCCAAGGGTTATGATGACGACGAGCAAATCTCGTTGTCCGTATGTTTTCCCCTTACACAAGCTTTTCGTTCGGGTTGTATAAAATATAATATCATCATATATAAAACAAAGAGCAAATAAAAAATCGGTCCCGAACCTTCAATAATCGAGTTTGAACTACGTGCAAAAGTCACCAGTAAATAGGGAAAACTAAGTTAGTTAGGGAGAAAAGGTTCCCAACGAAGGTGTGTGTATTATAAAAGATTCTACATTTCAGCGTTCAATTGAAAACTTACATGTCAGATATCGATACTCAAAATTTCTTAATTCTGGTAAGGGTTGTAAAATTACCTTATCTGTTATCAAAATAAAAGAACTTTCCTAAAAAAAAATTTTTTTAATTTATACCTCTAACGGATTGCCGGTTGCCGGGATTTTCGTCTCAGACGTTAAATAAACATCTAGCATTATCACATGATAAATTAAATTAGATTATCTGTATTTTCGAAAAAATGGTACCCACAGTTTTAAAACCGAAAACTAAAAAGGCTGTTAGCAAACCAAGCCGCAAAGGTAAAAAAGCCTGGAGAAAAAATGTCGACATATCTGAAGTTGAAGAAGCTTTAGAAAAGATAAGAGATGAGGAAATAACCTTAGGGTACGTTTACATATTGCGTGAAATTGAGAAGGATTAGTCTGTATTATAATCCAAAGCCGTATGAGACATAAAGATTTAATTCAATGTCATTTATGGATTTACTTAAAATAGTGGTAAGATTAGTGACATATCGACCGAAAAACTTTTTTCAATAGATGTAAAGGGAGATTCTGAAGGTTGGTAACTCTATGATGCACTTTAATTATTTCTTTAAATCTTAATTGACTTCTATTCTGATTACTCTTTTTATGAAAATTAAAGTTAAAAAAAAAGTCGACAAGAAATCTGCCAAATTACACATTGATCTGATTTTAGAAAACCGCAGTAAGATCCCTGAAGTGTTCTCAAAACCAAGGCCAAATTACGGCAAAAATCATACTTCCAAATACGCTAAAATGATGTTAGAAAAGCTTGCAAAAAAAAAAAATCAAGTAGGCAATAGCGCAAATAATAATGAATCTAGTGAGATAGTTATGAAAACAGGAGAGTATGATGTATGGGCACAAGGTTCAAAGAAATTTATGTTTTTATGAATTTTTGAAGTTGGTTCTCGATTATGGTTATTTATTTTAGTAATACTATTAGCAGATGATCAATCAGAAGATTTTTCGCATTCAATATTGAAACAAAAAATTAGGGTAGGCTATTAGAATTTTCTGAATAAACGTTTCAAGTTTTATATTTTTATTTTATCGATCTATAATCATATATTCTGTTCATTTGCTATCTACTGAAAAAGCCACCTCCCACCTTAAATATGAAACCTGCGGTTAATACTCCCGCAGTTCATCTACCGCATAGTGGATCAAGCTATATGCCATCATTTAAGGACCACCAGGTTTTTTTTTTCGATATTAATGACGCCAAATTTATAATTAAGGATGTTAATTATTATATCATTGATAGGAGCTCCTTATGATTGCGCATGAGGAAGAAGTCGTCAAATTAAAGAAAACGGAACGTATTAATTCTAAACTTCCATGCCTCATCGTTGTTCCCTCTGCGCTGAATATAGAGAATATGATTGACGAAAATGATGAAAAATCATCAGAGGAAAATGAAATCGAAAACGAAAAAACTGAAGAGAAAATTATTTCCCAAGCAAAGGAGCAACGCAGAAAGACAAAAGCTGAACGAAACAAGAAAAAAAGAAAAAGGGTAAAAATAAGGGAGGAGGAACAACGAAAGGCGCAAAAAGATTTGGTGAAAAAGTTGGAAAAGTAATATCTTTTTTTCAAGCATACTTAGAAATGATAAAGTTCTATAATAACTATATTATTAAAATTTAAACTAACAGACTCCCTGAAATTATCAAAACTGTTGAGAACGAATGTGCTGATCATGAAAAGAAGATGGTTGAACGGACGAAATTGGCTGAAGAAGTGACAAAAATGCCAAAGAAAAAAATTGGCAAATATCGGTGAAATATCTTTTATTTTTCATTATTGCTGAAACTATTTATTGAATGATCATCATTAAGTCATATTCATTAGAGTCCGAAAAGCACCGATTGATGTAAAGCTCACGGAGGATCTAGAAGGGACTCTAAGGCTTTTAAAGGTGCCTATCCAATAATCTTAGCTACAATTTTGGTTGAGGTTTGCTTTAATATTATGCATACATTATTTAAATATCCCATAATAGCCCGAAGGAAACCTCCTCCGCGATCGAATGATTAGTTATGAAGAGCGTAATATTATCGAGCCAAGAGTACCTGTCAGGTAGGACATTTGATAGATTTTTTTCTAGCTAGTAATAAAATTCTTATAATTATATTCTTACCTTATTTTCTAGTAAAAAACGAAAATATAAACTTAAAGAGTATGTGAGAAACTCTTATAAAAATCCCTAGCGGATATCCATTATAGTAGAAAGGTTAGAATATTTCACAAATAAATATTCTTTGCTGTTATTTTAGAATATATTGATTAACATGTGTTATCTATGTAAATAACTACCGACTTTTTTAATTATAGAAAATAAATAAAAATTACATGGGGAATAGCAATATCATAACCGTTTTTTTTTAGCATACTACTGCTGAGAAAGTTTAGAAATTTTTATTTTAAAATTTTGTTCTTTTATATATTTTTTTTAATAATTCGCAGGCAAATTTGTCTGTTAATTTAAATAAAAATAATACGAATTTTTTAATAACCCTAGGAATAATGCAATAATTTATTGACTTATATAAGCAATTGCAAGATATTTACTTGGTTTTTTTTTATTTTATTTAAATAGTCACTTGGCTGGTCAGAATTTCAAATTATTTGAATTAGCGTGATTTAAAGGGTATTATTTATTACGATAAGAGCATGCTAATAATTTTATGTAATAGATTAACAAAGAAATTTTTCCTAATAAGTTCATAGGGACATGATAAATCGTTGCATAAATATATCATCATTTACAATCATCCATCAAAAAAAAAAATATATATATTGTTTAGATTATTATCAAAAAAAAGTAGCGGTAGAAATTGGAACTACCTAAAAATTTTCTAATCGTTTAACCGTTTAATCAACCGAGAAAATTTGGCCCATGTTCGACATAATTTGACCCGGACTTTATACGTAGAAACTTAAGTTAAAGACTATAATATGGGATCTTTGCCTTGAAAATGACCTTACGGTACTATGTAGATTTTATGAATAAAAATTAAAATTTCTAGCTATCCAGTAATCCAATTCAAATAAACCTTTTTTTATTTTGTAGGGCTCGAGTTCTACAAAAAAAATAATAATAATTGAATTGGATTATTAGATGGCTAGAAATTTTAATTTTTATTCATAAAATCTACATAGTCCCGTAAGGTCATTTTCAAGGCAAAAACCCCATATCTTATTATAATTTTTATAATTTTTAATTATTAGGCCATACATTGTTTCATAACATAAAATTTTAAAATGACCCGGCAACCTGGCTTTTAATTTTTCAAAAAATTATATATATAAAAAACATGCCGTATTTTCGCGAAATAACGCCCACCTGCGCGTCGTTTTGAGTATATGCGCGTTATTTAGAGTGCGCGCCACCTCAACGCAAATTATTAGTTGAAACCCTTATATGGTGTGCGTGTTATTTCGGGACGCGCATTGGCATTATTTTGAAACTATGCATGCTATTTTTAGAGGGCACGATTTTCTAACGTAAAATTTTTTTATTAGACATCCAAAAAAACCCACACGGGTAGTAAATATAGTCAAAAAATTTTTTCAAAATTTTGCAGAATTTAACCCGGCCGGGTTATTAGAACCAATTTATTAAGTTTGTATTGCCTTATAATATAATTATATATTAAATTTTAAATAAAAATAAAATAAAAATAAAATATACCTTTAATTATGAAAACATCAAAAAAAAAAATAATAATTTTTTTTGCTAGTTTCCGTAAAGGAAAAAAGATAACGATTATGTAAATAAATTTGAAATTATTTAATTTAAAAAAAAATTATAATAGATTTTCTCTTCAATAACAGATAATAACTTAACTTTTAAATTTGTCAATTTCAAAGTGATATAAATTGAGAGCTAATGTGAAATATATTTCTACGAAATTAATCATCTTGAACTTTTGAAACAACCAAATATGGAAATAAGTCACAAATGTTATATGGGTGTTCAAGAGTTAAACTTGAAAAACTGCTTCGCAGTAGAGCAACAGTCAAAAAAACAAAATATAAGATTAATATAAACAGTTTCAGTTCAATTAGTACCTTTTATTATTTATTAGTGTGCTACAATATTTATTTTGAGGATTTTGGTGTTTTTTTGATTATATTGTCAGCATCAATTAATTTCTTTTTTATATCAAATTTCTCTTCATTTGTGGTTTCCATCGAATGAACATATATATGGGCTTGGTACTGGAGAAAGGAACGAAATTGACAAAAAAATTTCTTCAGAATTATATAATTTGGTACCATTCGATTTGTCTCAATGAGACGAATCGAATGGTACCAATATTATATAATTCTGATCGATAATTCACGAGATAATAAATTTTTTGTGAATTTTTTTTGTCAATTTTGACCCTTTCTTCAGCACCAAGCCCATATTTAACTGTAAGTCGATTTGTGGATTTGAATCATGCATTGATTGGTTAATTCAACGTACGTACGTAGCAATCGTGGTAACCAGGAGTTCTCTAGCAAATTCTGGTTAGATAGAAAAAATATTTATAGACTAACAGGTGCTGTAGAAAAAACAATATGTTGGAATATTTTATAATGTACTAATAATAATCCATAGCAAATTTAGGGATTGGAATCGCCTAAAATTTTTCCTAACCGTTTAATCGTTTACTGTATTAAACATTTAATTCAGCCGGCATTAAAATTGTCTTGACCCATGATCAACATAATTCGGCCCGGTACTATAAAACTTTCTTATGCAATCGAGTTTACATCCCTTTTTCCAGTTGATATTTCTGCCAATAATAACTCTTAAATTGCTTTGATTTTATTATTATTACAGTATTATTTTTTTGCTATACAATATTTAGTCAAAAAATCATGAATATTTCCTCTATTAGCGTTTTAGTATACATAATCCCCCGATCACTATAACAAGATCACGGGAGGATTAATTAATAATACCCTGTCCGTATGTGAATAAGCGGAAACTTCGTCTCCGCTAATTCCCAACGGATCAGGATATTATTATTACTAATATATTGACCAGTCTGTATGCTTCAAGTTCACTAACTTTCACTACCCTTCAGTCTACATTGCATGAGATTTTTGAACTTGAGAAAATATATAATAAATCTTTATTAAAATTTAAAAGCTGGAGGAGCTCGTTTGAGAACCAGGCAATATTTTAAGAGCAACTTCACAGGATTTTCTATGAAATTGTACATAGCCGAAACTATTATCACCTTCGACCATTCGTTTACCATCTAACCATATTGATGTATATACCCTCCTTTGTCAATGATTTTTATGTTTCCCAGTCTACTATTCAATCACTTTTTAAATGCCGTAGCTTTAAGCTGAAATTCCCTATCAATCATATATTGACTGGTTTCTATATTTTCTATATATTCTATTTTTCTTCATATATGAATTTTAAGCTTATACAGTAATACGTGTTAATTAAATAAGGGTCTTATAATTTCAGCAATAAGTTAGTTATAAATAATTTAACTTGCTTTGTTTATAAGGACCAAAGTATTGTTTTAAAGCAATGAATTCAATGTAAGATATATTTGCGTGACTGCATATATCCTCCAGATTTACAAAACATTCATTTTTTATATTCCTATGCCTACCTTTTTGATACATTTAAATGTACCCTAAATTTCTCATACTTTTTTGACAGCAAAATATATAATTAAAAATCATTGTTAATATCAGGTAATCTGGCATAATAATTTTTTTTTCAAATTTATACAATTTTGTTAAAAAAATCGTTAAACAGTTCTTTGAAATGTAAATGATATCACATATGTTCAAGTATAAATGTAGGTTTATTCGTTGACTTATTAAGATCTCTGAGGAGATTTGCATTGCAAAATTTTATTTAATATGAAAATACATTGTACACATGTATCGACATTAATGACCATAAGACTATCACATTACTGTTTAATCAACATGAGTTTTTATGTACCACTAACTAAACTTTGAATATTGGTACACGTATTTTTTTAGGCGATGAATTTGAATTTCGACAATATGAGTGACGGGGGGAGGATGGTTCAGTTGTTAATTGAGATGAATTTATAATATTAATATTAGATATTGCCCTTTCCTACATAAATAAAAATAATGAAATCAAACTGAGAAGCAACTTATTTGAAGATTATGAAGTAAGATTCTTACCAATAACGAATATAGGGTAGATACTACAGTGACGATGTTTAGAAAATTCGCACTTTCTGTCGGGAACAATACTTTCGATAATAGATTACAACGGTATAGACCGCCATATACCAAATTGATACTAAAAATTTTAATTTCGTTTCCTATTGGTTTTAATTCTATTAGTTTGGCAATCAACATCAGCAAAGTTTTAATAGAGATAACTTACCACAAATTAATATACCATACGTTTCCAGGCCAGCCACATAGCCGTAAATATTAATAATAAAATATGAAGACCCTTTCATGAATTCTGCTAATTTAATGATACTTCTATTTACGTTATTAGGGCAATGCGGTGGCTTTATCTCACCGAACATGAACTCTCTCTCAATGTCATCAATCTTTGATAGGATCCGGAAGTCTGGTTTTCTGCCATGGTTATGACCATCCAATAAACGTCTCTCTTTGGAACTTTCGGATTCTCTATTAGCCCTTTATTTCAATATTGAAAATGTAAGCGTATATGTCTAGTATAATGTGGGCTAGGTGCTGAGAAAAGGGACCAAATTGTCAAAACAAAAGATCTTCGGAAAATCAATTTTGTAAATCTTATAATAAATTATAGGAAAGTACAAACTTTAAAGAGCAATACAGCAAAATTTTATTAATACAACTACTTTTATGTCTTAAGTAAAAAATGACTATAATCTTATTCTAAATTGATTTATGTAAAAAAATATCTTTTGAAATAATAGTCAATTTGGTCCCTTTTCTCAGCACCTAGCCCATGTAATGATTGCATGAGACTTACCAAACCAATGAGAGTTCGGTTTGATTGAATATTTCTTCTACAATTGGTCAATTAATTGCAATTTACGTAATTAGGTTAATATCGTACATTCACCACTACACCACAATATGATTTTTGACTTTTCGCTGTTTAAAAGATCAGTGAAAGAAAATTGCAATTATTTCGTCATTAATTGGGTTTCAATTGATTTTATGATAATTTTAATTGATTTTAATTGTATGACGCATAGCAAAAATTAATTTTAATTGATTTTTCGACAGGCCTGATAAAAATATTACAACCCGATATTTCTTGACGCTTACGTCTTTTTCAGAGACATTATTTATAACAACATTACCAATCGCGTGACTCCATGACAAGACGGACTGAATAGAAATTTATCAAAGTCAAATGTTGTGGCTAGTGATACAAATCGAAAATCGAAAAATCGATTAGTTGGTCTAGTTGACAACTAATCGATTGAAAATTTTTGAAAAAACAACTAATCGATTGAAAATTCTTTGCCAACTTATAATTAAAAATCGATTAAAAATCAAATAATCGTTTAGTTGACAACTAATCGATAAAAAATTTTGAACAAACCAACTAATCGATTGAAAAATTTTTGGCGATTGTGGCAATGATTTTTGAAAGATTATGTTATCATCGATTAACACTAACCTTATATTTCGTTGAGTCTTCCCCTGTCTGTGCTATAAAAAGATTATCGCCCTCATGTGCAATCCCTAAGCAATGCTGATTAGAAACGCATAATACAACAAACAAAACGAAGGAAACATTACTGGAGATGCTTTAGTTGATCCATCATTTTGTTCTTCCTCAGCTGAACCCGATGGTTCATCTTCTACGCTTTGTGTAAATAATATAAACATAACATTATTCGCAATATGTTGCGTTGCAGAAACTGATTCATATAGGCCAAGGCTTGGAATGAATTTAGGGCTTGTTCCGATGCATGTATCTGTCGTTCTGGAGTTTGTATCTCGCCATCTCCAATAGTAGTTTTGATCTATAATCCAAAATGTTTATTTTTGTATATATAACGAATTTAGGAAGATTACTCTTAGTTAAAGATGCGTACAGGCTTTTGTTTTTTTCTCCCTTCAGTTGATCGTTCGCGATTTTCGTAAGATCGTTTCTGTCCCTGAATATTATTACCAGTACAACCGATCTGCACTCCGTCACAAGATAAAAATATGCTGTTAACCTTCATACTTTCATGCTTCATAAGAATGTGACGCTTCATCCAAAAATTATCGATTAATCCTGTTTTCTTAGATTCAGCCTTACAGAAATAAAATTATATATTAATAATGCTTCCAAAAAAACCCTGTAAATTAGTAAGCCACAAGCTGGTTATAGCGGAGACGCAGTCCATAACCATGCGAAGATGCAGTTCCATGGGTAGCTATAAGGCGAGACCAACTGGATTCTGTGTTTTACATTACCCCCACCCCCCTCCTCTGGGGTCCCCCCTCTCCATCATAGTAAAAAATTTTTGATAAATATACATAGGGCTACGGGACATTTCGGAAGAATTTTATACAGTCACGGATTAATTCGGAAAAAAAAATTTTTAAAAAAAAAAATATTGAAAATTTTACTATGTAAACCACAAATTCTCCCCCCCCCCCCTCTTCCGGAGGGGAGAGGGGGTAATGTAAAACACAGAATCCAGTTGGTCTCGCCTAACCAACAGCGGAGACGCAGTCCATAACCATGCGAAGACACAGTTCCATGGGTAGCTGTAGTATTGGAGAGGCGAAATATAGAGACGAAAGTGGGTGGCTACTGAATGTGGCTACTAATCTACAGTTATTGTAATTATAGCTTACGAGTCAAAATCCCGACAAAAAAATCCCAACAATCAAATCCCGACAATCGTTCATTTGAGCAATTTTACTATATAATCGCCTAAACCCTCGTCTAACTTAAACGAACTTAATAATTTTTTGTTGTCAGGATTTTGACCCGCACCCTACGAAAGTTATACTGACATTAAATTGGTTTTCGAGTCGTGTTGCATTCTCTTTTTGCTCTTCTGTGCCTTGTGGTTTAATAATTTGTAATTGTTTTTGAAAACTTCTCGTTAGAGTCGCCTTGTCTAAACCAAAATGGTTATCTTCCCACGCTTCATGGTACCGAACGGCATCCCAAACTTGACAGGGTGTATTCAAGAAATAATCGAAACCAGGCTCGCTGTTATCAGATAGCATTGTAGCGAAAAAGACGTAGTTCTTTAGAGAACTTTTATCCCGTATAAGCCACTTACGAAAATTTTTACATCTGGTATTTTGACATTATCGCATGGGTTATAGCTAATTTAGGTTATCAGACTTAATTATGTGGTTTACATAGTAAAAGGGGCAAAAATTTTGAGAAAATCACGTTTTCGTAGATCAAAACAATACCCGGTGACAAATAATGTAGATCTATTTTTAGAATAGGGACATCCATAATTTACGTTAAACTAGTACAGTATTGTATAAAAATATATAGTATTATTTTTGTATTATCTTTATTAACGTAAATTATGAACGTCCCCATATTATTTACATGTGCCATTGGGGTGCGCGGTATACTATGTAAATCAAAACTATATGTGGTATAAAAATCAATTATCGATTTTTTTTTGTAATTATACGTTCAGCAGAGACAGCCAAAATGATTGGCTATCCTGAGTCAACAATTTCCGTAAATCGCAATATACACCGTCCACGTGACAAATAAATGTAGATCAATTTTTAGACTACAATTTATATGCAGGTGACATAATTTTTGTTATGCATCACATCGTACTCGATAGGCATAGTTAATTTTATTAATTTTTATTTACTTATTTTTTTTTTTTTGCCTTATACATTTTGATTTTTTTTCTTTTTTACATTTCAGTAAATAACTTCTTCGCTTGTTCTA